ATGCTTCCAGCTGCAGGGTAGACGTACCCTCGAGTGGTAGAGATGTAAAATACCGTTTAATCAGTAAACTGGTTAAACGTTACTAACAGGTTAATCTGGATCCCGTAGGTGGGGGGGCTGCTCCAGCTCAGCTGGGCCCACCACACTATGGGCTGCTCCGGCCAGGCAAGGCTGAGCTCACCACAGGCAGGGCTGCTCAGGCTGGGCCCACTGCACTGTGCCATGGGCAGGGACTTCTCCCGCTGGGCCGGGCCCACTCCATTGCACCGTAGGCTGGAGCGTCCCCCAGCCTGCAGTATAGCGGGCCTGGCTGAGCTGGAGCAGCCCCCCCGCCCATGTTGAGAAGGGGGCTGCTCCATCTTGGCCGGGCCACCAGTTAACTGGTTACTGGTAAATATCACCTGGTATGGGTGATGCTTACCAGTTAACTGGTTACATCCCTAAAGGTGGTTAGCAAAACATCTAGATTTGTCAAACATTACTGTATGCGAACAAGTCTTTGAAAATTTGGCTCATACTGGTATGAGATGATGCCCCTCATGTTCCTCACTAAGGTAAAAAATATAGAATCCATCTCAGGCTTTCTAAGAACTAACGCATGTTGGGACAGGACTTGGGCAGTCAGTATTGGGTCAAAGTCCTGCCAGAAAAAAGAGGCTCGTAGAACAGCACTGTCTACCATATTAGTATAGTGACTGCCCCCTCAAGATGGTCAAAACATGCTTAACTCTTCCAGTGCAAACCTTTTACCCATGTGTTCAAACTGGGCAAAAGGCATGGATAGCTCTTAGCATTTTACCTGTGCCGGGAGACCAGAAATACATTTTGTGTTGTGGGAATGACTGTATTGTGAGCCACACACTTACCCAGTTATATTAATGTGCACGTGTGTGTGTATATAGTGATAGAAATGTAGCCGAGTTAGTCTGGTTAGCTGAAACAAAATACAAGACTATGTAGCACTTTAAAGACTAACAAGATGGTTTATTAGATGATGAGCTTTCGTGGGCCAGACCCACTTCCTCAGATCAAATAGTGGAAGAAAATAGTCACAACCATATATACCAAAGGATACAATTAAAAAAAATGAACACATATGAAAAGGACAAATCACATTACAGAACTGAGAGGGGAAGCAGGGGGGGGGAAGGAAAGTAAATGCCTGTGAGTTAATGATATTAGAGGTGGGGAAAGTTAGATGTCTGTGAGCTAATGGTATTAGAGGTGATAATTGGGGAAGCTATCTTTGTAATGGGTAAGATAACTAGAGTCTTTTTTTAAGACCCCAGTGTAAAGTGTCGAATTTTAGCATGAATAACAGTTCAGAGGATTCTCTTTCAAGTGCAGATGTAAAAGGTCTTTGTAGCAGAATGCAGGTGGTTAAGTCATTGAGAGAGCGTCCTTTCTGGTTAAAATGGCAAGAAACTGTTTTTTCTTTGTGATCTTGTCTGATATCTGTTTTGTGGGCATTAATCCTTTGGCGAAGTGTCTCACTTGGACAACCCCCAACTTAAACCTGTCCAACACATTATCAATAAACTACAGCCTATATTGGAACAGGATACCATACTCAAAGAGGCTCTGGGAGACAGACCCATAGTCTCCTATAGACAACCACCTAACCTCAAGATGATTCTTACCAACCACCACAGGACATACCACACTAATACCAACCCTGGTACCTTCCCTTGCAACAAACCCCGTTGCCAGCTTTGTCCACATATTCATTCTGCTGATACCATTATTGGACCCAACCAAGTGAGTTATAAGATCAAGAACACATATCCCTGCGCATCCAGAAATATAATCTACGCTATCATGTGCCGAAAGTGTCCGTCTGCTATGTACATTGGACAAACATCTCAGACACTTCGCCAAAGGATTAATGCCCACAAAACAGATATCAGACAAGATCACAAAGAGAAAACAGTTTCTTGCCACTTTAACCAGAAAGGACACTCTCTAAATGACTTAGCCACCTGCATTCTGCTACAAAGACCTTTTACATCTGCACTTGAAAGGGAATCCTCTGAACTGTCATTCATGTTAAAATTCGACACTTACCAACAAGGACTTAACAAGTCTTTGAACTTTCTCACCCATTACCAAGACAGTTTCCCCAATTATCACCTGTAATACCATTAACTCACAAACATCCCACTCTCCCTACCTTTAATATCAGCAATTCACAGACACTTACCTTCCTTCCTCCCCCTTCCCACCCCCCCGCATCCCCCTTCTGTTCTGCAATGTGATTTGTCCTTTTCATATTTGTTCATTTTTTTAAATTGTATCCTTTGGTATATATGGTTGTGACTACTTTCTTCCACTATTTGATCTATACACACACACACATATGTGCATTAGTATGGGTGGGTCCAGAGTGGGTAATTCTAGATTCCCAGTAATTGGAGACAACTCTCTTTGACTTGACTGGAAAGTTCCTGGTTAAAGCCCATGGAGTCTTTGAAAATGTAGTGATTCAGATTGTTGGAACAAAATTTATTGTGGTTTAATTGTAACGTGTGTGTGTGTTGTACAGCAACTAAAACAATGGGGCCTGCAGCCTGATTGAGGGCACTTGATGCGACTGTAATACAAATAAATTCCATTAAATTAAAGCATTGCCTCTTTGTTACAGATTCCAGTCTCGTCTGCAATACCAGAAGAGAAATTCTCTTGTGACAGAGCAGAAGAGCTGCTAAGGGAATATTTACCAACCATACTCGGCAACGTCACTTATGAACCTGCAAAATGTGCCAACCTCACTACTTCTTTAAGTGAAGAAATAAAATACTTGGTCAGGCAAATCACGCCTCCTCGGTATAAGTTAGTTGTCAATGTCGCTATTGGAAATAAAAGCAAAGATGAAGCTGTGGACATAGTGGTGACTAGCCAGTGTCTGTGGGACCCTCATTCGGATAATTTCACTCCTCTCGGTATGTGAATGCAACACTTTTTTGCGTTGTTTTGATACATGACGTTTATTTTGAGTAACAATCCAACTATGTCTCCTTCGCATAGAAAGAGCTTAAGTGTGTTACTAGCTACGATTAAAGTGAGACATTCACACACGGGTGTTGGATGACAAACTTGGAACTGTGCCCTGGCTATAGCAAATACAGTATGCGGAATCCTTAAAACAGAATAAAAATGCTAATTGCCAGATGAATTTACAAACATCACCTGTACACTTATGTGCACATATGCCTTGTCATATCCTCTAGCAACACCTGCCTATCACATAGTGCTTTTCACTGGTCTGTCTCACAGTGCTTTACAAAGCGAGGTACAGGTTGAACCTCCCAAATCTGGGGCTCTCTGGTCTAGTAACATCTAAGGTCTGGCAGGGCTAGGGATGTTGCTGAACCAAAAAGCTCTGAAGCAGAGACTGGGAGCCCCAGCCCCAGCCAGGGAACCCCCAGTGTTAGCGGGGCCATGTGGTAGGGAGTCCCGGCCTCAGCTGGGGAACCCCTGGCTGCAGCTGGGTTGCCTGATGTCAGGCAGCCCCGGCCAGGAATCCTGGGAAACCCCCAGCGGCAGTGGAGCCACAGCGACTAGGCAGCCTCTTCCAGGGAATCCCCAGCTGAAGCAGGGCTGATGGCCAGTATCCCCAGCAGCAGCAGGGCAGACCCAGCAGCAGGGTGAGGTGGCCAGGCGAACCCGGCTGGGGAATCCCCAGCGGCAGCAAGACTGGCGGCAGCTGGGTGACCCCAGTCAGGAACCTGAAGAACACCCTGCAGCAGTGGGACCAGCAGCAGCCAAGCAGTCTCCACCAGGGACCTCTGGGGCAGCGGGCAGGCAACAAGGTGGGGAGCTATGCCAGACCAATGTTAGGGGGGCCAGCCGCAGGGCAGGGAGACCCAGGGAGATGAGCCCAGGAGTGGGGCAGCCAGCAGGGGAGCACCGACCTCCCCATGTCCAGCAAACTCCCTGGTTCAGGTCAGCTCAGGTTCTGAGGGTGTCAAACCAGGGAAGTCCAAGCTGTACATATCATTATATCACTGGATGTACTTTTACTAACAACTATTGCTTTCCATTTAATAACTTGGGGTATGTCTACACTACCCTCCTAATTCGAACTAGGAGGGTAATGTAGGCATACCGCACTTGCAAATGAAGCCCGGGATTTGAATTTCCCGGGCTTCATTTGCATAAGCCGGGCGCCGCCATTTTTAAATCCCGGCTGGTTCGAACCCCGTGCCGCGCGGCTACACGCGGCACGAACTAGGTAGTTCGGACTAGGCTTCCTAGTTCGAACTACCGTTACTCCTCATTCCACGAGGAGTAACGGTAGTTCGAACTAGGAAGCCTAGTCCGAACTACCTAGTTCGTGCCGCGTGTAGCCGCGCGGCACGGGGTTCGAACCAGCCGGGATTTAAAAATGGCGGCGCCCGGCTTATGCAAATGAAGCCCGGGAAATTCAAATCCCGGGCTTCATTTGCAAGTGCGGTATGCCTACATTACCCCGCTAGTTCGAACTAGCGGGGTAGTGTAGACATACCCATGATGTTTTAAAATGGAAACTGTGATACTCAATACTTTTATTTCTGAGATCAATGTTTGCTCCAGTCTGTCACTACTTAAGCTTAAAAATCAAAGCGACAATTCCTATCCTGCCTGTCAGAAGTTCTGACTGTGGCCACAGAACAAATTCAGCAGCTCCACTCTCTCCCGCGCTTGATTCAGCATGGCACTTATGCCTGTGCCTAACTTTCAGCATGCAAAGAATCCCATTGCTTTTGTGTACTTAACATTCAGCAAGTGTGTAAGTACCTTGATTGAACTGGGAGACGGTGGGGGTGTTGCTTTCTATAGGAAGGGGTAATAGTGAATTTTATTGCATAGATTGTGTTTTCTTCATTCCTACATCTCTTTCTTGGGTGTAACATTGATGCTTTGAGGCTAGTATGGTAAGGCCCTAGCAGAGCTCTATGTACTGCGCACGCCCCCCACCCCCCAGCTAGAACATTCCAGAACAGCCCTGTGGAAAATCTAACCTTTACTCCAGGTATGAGGACAGTGTTCCTGGGAAGTTCAGAAAGTTAGTTCTGGCAGCCCTTTGCCTATGGAAAAGACAGGAAGTCACTATGAAACAGCTTTTCTAATTTGAAAATAGCTTCAGTTCAACAGAGATTATAAAATGCTTGGGAGTAGGTAAAGCAAATAACCATGGTCCCTGAGAAACTGAGGTTCAAGAGCAGCTAGACCATTGTGCACACCCTTTCCCAAATAGATTTTTAGGATATATTTTTACCCCCATGTGAAGCGCTGTATACAGATGATAAAGGATTTTACATTTTGTGCACACCCATAGCTGTGCACCCTGTTATATCAATTCACCCTGGCCCAAGGCTTACATGCCCAGTGACTGGAAGTATTAGGCTCTGTCTTACTGCATTATAAATGCAGGTCTGAGGGACCTGGGCTTGTGGACTCAGTGCTTCCAAGCCAGAACTTGGGCATCCACACTGTTTTGTAGACCTGGGCTGGATGCAGATCTCACAGCCACGTTCACACATCCACACTATTATACTGAGCAGACCTTCTGACTGGGATCTGTGGCTGGAGCTGTGTTCACACTGCAGAGGGTTTGGATTTGAATCACAGCAAGACTTGGGCTCTAACCCACCATGTTAGGAGGGACCTAGGACCTGTATCCCAAATGTTTGTTGACCTGGATCAGGCAGGGGCTCAGATTCAAACCTGAGTCAGAGCCTGGTCTTTTGTGCAGTGTAGACATACACTTACGAGTCCCTTATGGCAATAACCCCTGGATTAAGAGCTCCCAATAGTGCATGTGTCATGGCAGATCCAAATGGTTTTCAGAGTGTTGTTACCATGACGACGATGCACAGATCAGAGCAGAGTTGCTTACCCTCTACTTTTCAATTATGAAATAAAAGTGATGACACAAAATATGAGATAAAGGTACTGTTAAATGCCTCTTCCGTGAAATTCTGAGTTACTGCGTCCACTGACATTCTTCTTTCTCCTGGCTGCACCAAGTTACTGTAGCAGGTATGGTATATCAGCTAGCCTTATAAGGATTTGTAAAGTAATATATTAAGAATTATATTAAAAACACTGTATGAAAATATTTATCCAAAAGCATTTGAAAATATATGCATGAGAAATCCAAACAGATCAAAAAATAAGTCCGTATTGATGTTTGCACAGGAAATAGCAAACAGTATATGCTTGTCCTGCACTTCTTTTCAGAGGAAACAGGTCTGAAACACACTACTAAAATACAAAATAGGAATCTTCTTTGAGTCCTAAGGATTTCAAACATCTAGTCATATCTTCGTTAAATGCTATTGAGCCACAAATGAGCACAAATGGCTTTCTTCTACAGGAATTTATCATTTTCTTAATCAAGTTCTCAGTTATATGGCCAGTTTGTGTGTTTTCCTGATAGCTCCAAGGAAGTTTTTCCAGGGAAGGTTCCTGGAAAAGTAAAATGTTTATACTGTATTAAGTCATTTTAGAGAAAATGATGAGCCACACTTTAAAGAGTTAATGGCTATACCAGTGGTGAGCAATAATTTCTGATGGGGGCATCACTCCAAGAAATCAAGGGATGCATTCTTCTATATGAATGGAGGTGGTGCAGTGTCTGCGATGGAGATTGTGTTCGGATATTGGGGTGCAGGAGGAAGGGAGTTCAGGTGAAAGAAAGGATTGTGACCTGGAATGCATGGTCCAGTATGGAGTTGTGACCAGGTACAGGAGGGTTTGTGGTGGAGAGGGTTTGGGTTGTGACCTAGGACAGGAGGGAGCTGAGGCAGAAGTTTGGGGTGCAGGAGAGGGTGCAGAGTCTGGGAAGAGATATGGGTGCAGAAGAGGATTCTCACCTGGAAGAGGAGGTGTAAAAGGGGGTGCAGAGTCTGAGAGGGGGCTGTGACCACTGTTCCCTCTAAGCTGAGTGCTAGGGTAACCACCCAGAAAAAAATCAAATGCTACCCAGCTGATTAGCAGAGTGCCCATGGCTGGCAGCAGCAAGCAGCATGTTTATAATGGTGGTGTACATCTGCATATGCCTCAGTGCATGTAACAAAATTTATTTCACACATGGATGAAAAAAATTAGAGGGAACACTGGTTGTGACCTGTGGCAGGGGTGCAGAAGACGGTTCAGAGGGTTTGGGTTGTGACCTGGTGCAGGGAGTTGGGGGGAGAGGGGATGGGATGCCAGTTCCAGCCTGTGGGCTATATTTTGCCCACCCTACTCTAATGGGAGGAAATCACAATGAGACAAGATGAGAGAAAAAATGTATTGGCTGCCATGTATTGATTAGTATCAAACAAATGGCACTGCCCTGTATGCGATGGAATATCAAGACTTCCTCAAGTGTTTGTGCTCATCTTGTTCTTTGGTGGCTGCCTTGCAAAAAGATTTTTAGGAGAAGCAAGTCGTGAATTCTATTCCCCATTGCCCGTACTGGTCAAATTTGGGACACAAAGTTCCACAATGAGAGGGACAAAAAATGATTAATGCAGGAAACTTAAAATGCTGGGTGAGTCATACCGTTATCATAACCCACTTTCTATAATCTAAGTGCAATTAATCTTTTTTTCTGAAGTAAATAATTTTCAATGATAAAAGTGAGGGATACCAGATTTGTGTGGACCATACTTAAATTTGGAATCAAATGAGCAACATTCCTCTAAATGAAGGCTATTTCAGAGGTAGGCCCTTGTCCATGAATTTGGCATAGTTAGCAACTTTAAGTATGTGGCTCCAACATTTTTATACAAAGACATGACAATGGCTTCATCAGAGGACTCCAACATGAGATGAGTTGATGAGAAGACAGATGGATACATGCTGCATGACGAGACACCAAACATTTGTGATTATAGGAACTAGCTCAGGAGTGAGCAATAATTTTTGATGGGAGGTGACTCCAAGAATTTGGTAGGTGATCATGGGCCGCATTCTTCCATGATATTAATGGATGAGGTGCAGGGTCTGGAATGGAGGCTGGGTACAGAAGGAAGCTCAGGGTAGAAGATTGGGGTGCAGGCGGGAGTTTGGGTGGAGGGGGCTGTCACCTAGGGCAGGAGGGAATGCAGGGTCCAGGAGGAAGTATGGATGCAGGAGAGGAATCTGACCTGACGAAAGGGTATAAAAATGGGTGCAGGGTCTGGAAGGGGGTTGTAACCTGGGGCAGGTATGCAGGGGTTTGGGTTGTGACCTAGGGCAGAAAAGGGTTGTGACCCGATGGGAGGGAGTATGGGTGCAGGAGAGGATTCTGACCTGACGGAAGGGTATAAGAAGGGGTGCAGGTTCTGGAAGGGGGTTGTAACCTGGGGCACGGGTGCAGGGGTTTGGGTTGTAACCTAGGGCAGAAAGGGATTGTGACCTGATGGGAGGGGGTATGGGTTCAGGAGTAAAGAGGGTATGAGTTTTGACCTGGGGCAAAGGTATAGGGGCAGCAGAGGGTTAAGGGGGAGGGAGATTGTAGGGTGCCAGGAGCAGGCTCTGGCCAGGAGGCGCTTACTTTAGGTGGCTTCCAGTCAGCAGCCCAGCAGAAGCCGCACTCCTGCATGTCGCTCAGAGCAGTCAGCTGCCGGGAACATGTGCTCTCAGTGCACCATGCACCCCTTGGAGAAACCAGCCAGTGGGAGCTGTGAGATTGTGCTGTGGGCAGGGGAAGTGCACAAAACCCACCCCAGGGGAATGCGGCACACAGCGAATACATGGCCCATGCAGCCAGCCACTGTGAACAAAGTGTCATGGGATGGTGGTAGGCTGGATCTGGTGGACCATATCCGACCACAGGCTGTATTTTGCCCATCCATGAACTAGCTAGTGAATGTAAGCAGTGAATGAAAGAAACTAACAAATCAATACATGGATGCTGAAAAAGGAAAACCTTTTGGTTGCAGCTTATTTACTGTGAGCTTCACAGAGAGCTGAGGGTTTTATAAATACAATTTTTCAGATGCTGCAATGATCAATTTGGAGAAAAAATATTCCATGGTAGGCAGGTCAATGGGAGCTTTCTAACAGAACCTTTGTTAACACAGGTGGACTAGTAAGTGATACATTTGAAAGTCTGCTAGTTAGAATGAACAGGATTTAAGAACATGTTACCAGACAGATGCTACTGGATCCACACATGGCCTTGTCCACTGGTAAGTAATCAGTTTAAGTAACACTGAGACAAAAGCCGAGGGTATTTACATAAGAACATTACCTGGCTAAGGACAAAACACGTTCTGATGTTCCAGTATCGAGACAGATCTTGAAGAAGAGGTTTCAAGTAAATATTTTCAAAAGTCCTGAAGCAACCAACCAAAGTTATAAAGGTTTCATCATCTTCATTTTCCGTTATGTACTGGAGAATGGGGAGCATTGGTGCTATGCCTGTACCAGAGGCAAGCATAAGAAGTTCTCCATACTAGAAATTAAGCAGAGGATTTTGAATGGGTTATACATTTTTCCATTTCCAATTACTATTAGATTACTGCATTCCTCTAAAAGGGTGCGATAGTGGCTCTATAATATTGGATACATTCTCTAATGGGGAACTGTATTGGGTACACTTATACACCAAATATAGTTTTTTCAAAGGCAAGATTTTACAAAACTCAAGTTGAACAGAAACATTTTCATGATTTAAAAAAATCAAATGAAAGCCATTTTTTCTTGGATATAAACGTACCCCTGAGTTTTAACCTTGATTTCAACTAATACATGTTGAGCTTCAGTTCAGCTACAACCATTGCTGACACCCTTTGTCAGCAGTGGTTTATAGTTCTATGGTAGTCAAGCCCTGCGATAAGGATGAAAGCTTTCAAATCTCATGCTATGGTAATTTGGACAGTTCTCATTAGAAGTTCTCTACCTACCTCAGTGGCAGTGAACATTACACATAAATAATAGTAATACTTTGCACATCTTATCCACATAACACAGAGTACATACAAAATGTGGGTGAGCATTATAACCCCCATTTTGTAGAGTAGGAAACTCATACATGGGGAGGGCTTGATTTTCAGAAAAGCTGAAGGAGCTCAGCAGCTTGCCCAAACTCACAGAGCATGTCAGGAAAACCCCAATATCCTAATTTCCAGTCTGATGACCTGCCCGCTGGACCACACTGCCTCCTTTAGCCATGGCTAGATACTGGATATCAGACTGGATGAAATACCAGGTCAGATCTCATATGGAAAATCCTATGAATCCATAAAAAATCAGATGAAGTGCTCACAGCCAAATGAATATCTCTCATTCAGTGGCTGGATTGAGGACATCTGAGCTGCATCCCAACAGAAAAGTTAATGGCCTGTGGAAATCAAAGCCCCATTAGATTGAGAAGAGATTTGCAAAATAAAGGGACCACTCCAATACCTACTGACTTCAGTGGACACTGGATCAGGTCTTTTATGAACAAATCTATCTTAAGTGCTATGGAATTTTCAGCTTCCTTTTATATAGGCTACTGATTTATACAGTATACTAATTCACTGGGGCTGCCATCCATGGAATCCTGGGGTGCTTAGCAACTCTCAAATTCAATCTTACATGTGCCTAAATAAGGCTAGGGTTCTCTGTGGAACAGTCTGAAAACCTATTCTAATTTGTAAATTATTTGTAATTGGTAAATTAGCTGAGCAGGCTGGAAGCAGGGCACAGGGATGATGTTTTGGGATTATTTCTTGATATATTTTGATTGTCCTGTTTATTGTGAATAACCAATTTAAATTGCTGAACCATATCCTCTTTTAAAAGAAGATCAGTTTTGATGTATTTTGGTAACAATGAAGAACAAAAAAATTGTCATACGAGGTCAGACCAGTTAAAAGATTCATCTAGCCCAGTATTCTGTCTTCTGACAGTGGCCAATACCAGGTGCCCCAGAGAGAATGATCAGAAGAGGTAATCATCAAGTGATCTATCTCTTGTTGCCCAGCTTCTAGCAGAGACTAAGGACATCATCCCTGCCCTTCCTAGCTAATACCCATTAATTGACAAATACTCCATGAACTTACCTAGTTCTTTTTTGAACCCTGTTATAGTCTTGGCCTTCAAAACATCCTCTGCAACGGAGTTCCACAAGTTGACTAAGTGTTGTGTGAAAAAAGACTTTATTTTCTTTGTTTTAAATCTGCTGCTTATTAATTTCATTTGGTTACCCCTAGTTCTTGTAAATTGCAAGAGTAAATTACACTTCCTTATTTACTTTCTCCACATCAGTCATGATTTTATAGACCTCAATCATAACCTTTTAGTGGTCTCTTTTCAATGCTGAAAAGCCCTAGTCTTATTAATCTCTTCTCATATTGAAGCTGTTCCATGCCCCTAATAATTTTTGTTGCCCTTTTCTAAACCTTTTCCAGTTCCAATATGTCTTTTAGAGATGGGGCAACTACATCTGCACACAGTATTCAAGATATGGCTGTATGATAGATTTATATAGATGCAATATGCTATTTCCTGTCTTATTAGCTATCCCATGATTCCCAATATTCTCTTCACATTTTTCACTGCCACTGTACATTGAGAGGATGTTTTCAGAGAACTATCCATGATCCCAAAATCTCTTTCTTGAATGCTAACAGCTAATTTAGACTCCATCATTTTATATGTATAGTTGGAATTAGGCCTGCCAAGGAGTCAGGTGTCCCAGGCCCCTTTGAATCACTGCCAGAGTGCCGCTCTGTGCAGCTCTGAGGGCTAAGGGAGGCCTAGCACTGGAGCGCAAGTGGCGCTAAGGGCTGGCTGCTCCAACCCCACCCCTTCCACTCAAGGCCTGATCCTTCTCGGGACAAGGAGCCAGGTGCCCCACACCTCGCCACAGGGCCTGCAGTGGCTGTCGGCCTCACTGGTTGGAATTATATTTTCCAATTTGCATTACTTTCATTTATCAACACTGAATATCAACTGCCATTTTCTTGCCCAGACAGGGTTTGCACATATGTACTTTGCAAGTGCCATGAGATCTCTAATGACCAGAATCGCAATTCTATGCCTCATCCAAAAGGAAAGGGTTACGTAACAGTCCCAAAGTTCATGAGAAATCTCTCCAAAGTTTTATATAATCATTTTTGCTGTGAGCTTGGTACTCATACATAGGATCAATACTTGCAGCATCACAAGTTGACATGGACATAAATCTATACACTTAACTAGAGTCTACATAATCTGATGATACCTAGTGGGCCATATAAATATATGAAATGGATGAGATATGGCTCTAAGGCCAAGAGTTGGACATCTCTGCTATGGTCAAAACTTGTCTTGAAACATCAGTGTAATTCAAAGCGATACAAAACAAATTAGCATGAATTTTTAGTGATAATTCTAACCAGTTTTCTTAGTTTCAATACGGATTAAATGGATGCTCAGCAACTCTTACTAGTGTTTTATAATCTCCTCTACTCCTTCTTTTCCTCTTCCTCCTTACATATTTTGCATTCTAACAAGATCCATTTACTCCAGTCATCTTCAAATGCTGTAGCCCTGTACAGCAAATGTGTAAATCCTTAAAATAATTAAAATAGTAATCTAATTGACAATCTCCCTTTGGTACATTACACAAAGTGAGTTGCCATGTGCTGAGCCATTCCGTATCTATTATATAACTAACCTGATTAGGGCTATATGGGAAGCCTCCAAATGGCCCTCGCCAAAAGACTGTGTCTCCTTCAATCCAAGATTTTATATATTGTGACATTAACCCAGCCTCATAGCACTGTTAAAAATCACACAAAAGGAAAGAAAAATTATACCTTGTTGGAAAGTTTCCCAGCTTAAAATTAATTATAAAATTATCTCTGTTTAAACAAAAGGAGGGGGGACAATTCAGGAGTTTAAAAATGACTGTTTTATTTGCAAAATAATATAAACTTGTAACAGAAACAAAGATATTTAACTGAAATGATACTGGATCAAATCCAGCTTGAATATAATGTAAATACAATACATACTTATGAAGCCTAAGCTTTCTAAAGCTAGGAAAGCCTATCAGAACTCTCATTTACAAAGCACACAAAGAAGAACTCCTTACAGTCAAAAGCACAGCAAGCTTTCTTGTGTTCTCCAGAGCTCAGAGCATGGCCATGTAGCACTGTTATTAAATGACTGGGAGCTGGAAGTGCATTCTGGGTATTGATATTCAAATGAACACTACATATTTTACACTTTGTTTCAGATCTCCCAGACTGTACAATGGCACAGCAAGTAACTACTGAAGCGGAGTCAGGTTCCTCATCTGAAATGTTAAAATGGGTATTTTTAGTACAGATCACCTGAATGTGAAGAGATGCTCAGAATCTACAAAAATGTTGACATGGACCTCACTAAAAAATACATTCACCAAAACTGCTCTTCTTCCTAACCCGTTCAAAATCACCAAAAACACCATTAGAGACTTCTGCATGCAGACTTCGTGTGTTACTGACAGGAGTCAGAGCTTGCCTGCAACAGAGGACGACACAAAGGGAAATGCTAAAACCACAGGATCATCCAATTAGTCCAGTCCATAGCAGCATCCATGCTGTAAGATACCATTGGAGACATTTTATATTCAACGAGCCTTGCACCTCGGGTGATCATTGAACATGCTATGCAGAGTAGGTGGAAAAGGTTATCAAATCAGAATGGCTTGCATGGTGAGCATCTTATACTCACCTTCCACAGTGTAAATCGCAACACAAGGTATAAGGCAATGGCAAATTCACCCTATTTACTTCATGTTCAGCATGAGGGGAGGGAAGAATTTAGAACTGAAACATTCTTCACACCCAAATATCTCCCCTTACTCTAAGAAATGGCTGAACTAGTTCATTGGTTATGGTTTACTGGTTATTTGTATAAAGAAAAAGAAAAAGAAAAAATGTCTGCTGGGGTGAAAACTTCTACACTTAGTTTTACACCAAAAGAAACCACATTATACAGTCACTCAAAAGGAGGGTGTAACAGTATGGTTTGGCACTTAAGAACTAGAGGCCTAGGGGGTTGATTACTGCAGGACCTGCTCTAGCCCACCTATGCTGTGGGACCTGAGGAAGACAGCTGATTCTCTTATAATTCTCTCTACAAGTGGAAAGATTCTTGTGGGGAACATGAAAACTCAGAGCCAGGAGAATGAACTCCAGCCAAGTAAAGCATGGGAGTGACTGTTAAGTCAGGACCCAGATCTGGAAAGGAGAAATGGGGACTTTGAGAGAGATCTTGAATGAGGGTTGGGGCATGGAGGACAAAGTGTCTCTGTGGACTGAATAAATTGGACCCCAGAAGGGGGATGTTTTAAATACTGTGAACTGTGCAATTCTTAAGGAGCCCTGAAGAAGTGGAAACAGAGCCACAAGGGAGGTGCTCAGGAGGTGGCTGATAGTGTTACAGAGCATTATGCATGGCAAATAGCAACTCCCTCACTCTAAACTGTAGTATCATAAATGTGATAGTGTAACAATAGGAAACAGAGATGTTTGAACAGTACTTGGATTGCACAGTAATAATAATATAGTACTTCCCAAAATCGCCTGAATAGTGTGAAATATACTACAACCTACACAGCAAGTTATAAAAATGGGTACTTTCGGAGGAGGAGTTGCAGGTCTTTTATTACTGCCAGAGAATCACTATAGTTCCTTTTGGGATGAAAGGTTCTATATAAAGGAAAGGTATTATTACAATCATTACTATTATTATTGAAACGCAAAACCTGTGTAATAAGCACGTATACATGAAATTTCACAGTCAACCTATAAATGTATCCTATTAATGCAGCTCAAATGTAGCACTTTTTCCCCTGATTGCCACAATAATAGTGAAATAACCCACCCATAAATGTCTTTTATAAAAGCTACACACATTTCTAAAGAACTACATTCTGTCATACAATGAATAATAAATCCTCAAAGGTATAAGCTGCTGGGAGACAGGCAGAGGCTCTAATCTGCATGGAAGCTGTAGCTCTCAGAATTTTACACTTGGAGTGAAGTCCGTCAACCCTGCCCCCCAGAAATTAGCAAAGAGATGTAAATATGACCAGAAAGATGGAACTGATTTTGATTTCCTACACAAAATAATTATTTTTGCTGGCCCTGGTCCTGCAATCCTTACTTAGGCAAAATTTCCATTTAAGTCAGCCCTATTAAGTCAATTGGAGTTTTGACATTAGCTTCAACAGAGCCAGAATTACACCCCAAACAGGTCTCGATATCAGTTTCTAAATGTGAAGACCACAAAACAGATGCTTTATGCTCCTAGGTACTTTGTAGCAAAATAAACAAGTTTCCCTGAAAAGTGCCCTTAAAGCAAATATTCCATCAAGGAGCCTAATTGCTGAAAGTTGGTCTTATGATAAAGACACTAACCAGGGATGCAGGAGAGCTAGGTTCATTTCCTGCTGTACTACAGACTTTCAAAATTCTCCACCGGCACTGACACTGCACTTCCATGACATACTTCAGGAGTGAAAAGGGACCAGAGGAACATCTTCCCCCAGGGATTCCATGGACAGGATTTAGAACTAGGCTCTGATCCCATTCCCACCATAGTCAATTGCAGAACCCTGGACTTGATTTTGCAAGGATCACTTACTAGGGAATATGTTGTAAATAATTTATTTACAAGACACCTTTTCATTTTCAACTTTGTGTATGTGACATGACTGCTCTTATCAAAAAACCACAATTCTCTCTAAATAATTACAAATATGCTCCATGACACATATTCCTAATTATTATTTGCATTTGTTAATATTAACAGTGTGGGTTCTGTACATTGAATGGAAGAAAAACACAGTCCCAAGTTGTTTACAATATTATCTAACTAATATACACTTACTTTTATTAAAACTTCAAAGTATCCTTCAGCATTCACAGGACTAACTGGAGTATAAGCTCTCTGAATTTCCAAACCATTCACCATCCCTCTGAGAACAAAAAAAGATGGTACAGGAAATCATTACTGGAATCACTGATTGGTACTCTTTGGAGAGATGAGCAAAGGCTATTGTCTGAAACACACAGCAGTCGTTCCTCCTCATGGGTCATCCTTTGCTGAGACAGATGTTCCCTCAATTAGCTAAAGATCCAGGGAATGAAATAACCTCAGATTTCTCTGCAGACCTTTTATGGCACTATCTAGTATTCCTCTGATTCTCTAGGCAAAGGCATCAGCTATGTCACATAGGCAGCTTTTCCAGACAAATCAGGCAAAGGAGAGTAACAGATGTTTTGTGTGGAGCACCTGAGTGTGCAGTATTGTGAAGGAATGCTATAGTGGTAAATTTGGATTATAAATTCTTTGGGGATAAGGGCTGTTTTTTCACTCTGTATAGTATCCAGTAAATATATAATAACTGATACATATCAATGGTGCCTATTGACCATCTGTATCTGACAGTGATCACCACAAGAAACTAGGACAGATGACAGCTCCTCCCATATAACCCCTTTTTGGCAAATACTATGCCATGGGAGGGAATGTTTTTCCTGACCTCAGCTAGATAACAGCCGCAAAGCACATGGACTTTGAATACAATACTGCAATGTGCTTAGCCAGCCCAAGCTACAAGGCCTAACACTGAATTCCTGAGTTAGTACAGCTTGCCTTCATAATGATATAAATCATCTGCTGAAAGAACTATTTTTTTATTTTTTTCCCTTCTGCTAATTAGTCATAGCCACACTTAGTTCTCCTTTCCCCACCATCAACACAAAGCTAATGTTGAAGAAAAATGAAGCTATGGAGTGGGCTTTCACCATAAAATTAACAAACTTAACAAACTCATGAGTTTTTCAACTGTATCATTATGGAAGCACAGAAATTATGATTTACTTGGTATGAAATCTTTGTATACTGACAAACTGCATATTAAGTCATGTAATGTAGCTCATTTAACTGGAGACAAGTACAGTACCTTAACACAATATGTTGTCCTAAACTCAATCCCAGGCTGCTATTTTCTGGCAGCTCAAATTTATAGTAGTAGGTGTCCTCTGTTAGCTGTTCCACAGAGCTTATCTTGAAAGCAGTAAATGTATCTGGATTTAATTCTGAATTACTACTCTGTAAGAACAATAATAAATAATTACTTGGGTAGATGGCATCCTACATTTCACTTTTCTTTAAAAAAAGTATGCATGAATTTATTTCTGGTGAAACTTAGAAGAGCAGAAAAATGTGCCCTGAAAAGGCAAGTAACATGCACGGATTTAGGGGGGGTCTCTGCTGGTTTGTTAGCAGTGGTTTATTTTTTTCAGAATACAAATTTTTTTCATTATTTCATTTTTTTCATTCTTTTTTAAGGATAGATCCCAGATCTTATGACCTAGAAGAAAATCTTGTTAACATGACTTTGTGCAATGCTGTGTTCCTCAGTGTGCAGAGAGAGATCAGTAGAAATAGCTCTAAGAGAACTTAACATTGTAATGGAGACTTAATGCTGAAATTCAATTACAACTATTTTAAATACAAACATTGTTAAGAACATAAGAATGGCCATACCGGGTCAGACCAACGGTCCATCTAGCCCAGTATCCTGTCTGCCAACAGCGGCCAATACCAGATGCCCCAGAGGGAGAGAACACAACAGGTAATCCTCATGTGATTCCTCCTGTCACCCATTTCTAGACAAACAGAGGCTAGGGACACCATTCCTATCCATCCTTGTAACCTCTATGAATTTATCTAGCTCATTTTTGAATGCTGTTAAAGTCCTAGCCTTCACCACATCCTCTGGCAAGGAGTTCCACTGTGTGCTGTGCAAGGTTGACTGTGTGCTGACTGACAAGAAAAACGTCCTTTTGTTTGTTTTAAACCTGCTGCCTATTAATTTCTTTTGGTGATCCCTGGTTCTTATATTGTGGGAATAAATACATAACTTTTCCTTATTCAAATTTTCCACACCAGTCATGATTTTATAGACCTCTGTCATATCCCCCTTTAGTCTCCTCTTTTTTAATATGAAAAGTCCAAGGCTTTTTAATCTCTCTTCATATGGGACCCGTTCAAAACCCCTAATCATTTTTGTTGCCCTTTTCCAATGCCAATATATCTTTTCTGAGATGAGGCAACCACATCTGTACATGGTATTCAAGATGTAGAAGTACCATGGTTTTATATAGCGCCAATAAGATATTCTCTGTCTTATTCTCTATCCCTTTTTAAATGATTCCTTAATTATTTGCTCCACTATCTTCCCTGGCACAGAAGTTACAATGACTCATCTGTAGTTTCCTGAGCTGTTCTTATTTCCCTTTTTATAGATGGGCACTATATTTGCCTTTTTCCAGTCTTCTAGTATCTCTCGCGACTTCTATGACTTTTCCAAGATGATAGCTAAAGGCTCAGATACCTCCTCTATCAGCTCCTTGAGTATTCTAGGATGCATTTCATCAGGTCCTGGCAACTTGAAGACAGCTAACTTTTCTAAGTAATTTTTAACTTTTTTTATTATTATTTTATCTTCTAAACCTAACCCATTTCCACTTGCAATTCTCTATGTTAGGCATCCTGTCACCATCACACTTCTTGATGAAAACCGAACAAAGAAGTCTGTTTCTTTCCTGTCTTTTAAATAGTTATCAATCCATGAAATGACCTTTCCTCTTATCCCATGACAACTTACTTTACTTAAGAGCCTTTGGTGAGGGAGCTTGTCAATGTCTTTCTGGAAATCTAAGTATACTATATCCACTGGATCCACCTTGTCCATGTAAGGCATGATTTCCCATTACAGAAACCATGTTGACTTTCCTCCCACAAATTATGTTCATCCATGTGTCTGATGATTTTATTCTTTACTACAGTTTCAACTAATTTGCCCCGTACTGACATTAGACTTATCGGTCTGTAATTGCCTGGATCACCTCTAAAGCCCTTTTTAAATATTGGCATCATGTTAGCTATCTTCCAGTCATTAGGTACGGAAGCTGATTTAAAGGATAGGCTATAAACCACAGTTCATAGTTTCACAATTTCCCATCTGAGTTAACTCCTGGGTGAATGCCATCTGGTCCTGGTGACTTGTTACTGTTAAGTTTATCAATTTGTTCCAAAACTTCCTCTAATGACACTTCAATCTGGGACAACTCCTCAGATTTGCCACCTAAAAAGAAAGGCTCAGGTTTGGGAATCTCCCCGACATCCTCAGCCATGAAGATTGAAGCAAAGAATTCATTTAGCTTCTCTGCAATGACTTTAACATCTTTGAGTGATCCTTTAGCATCTTGATCATCCAAGGGCCCCACTGGTTGTTTAGTCAGCTGTTAATTATTTCAATGCTGATTAAGTGAATAGAAATATCCAACTTTACCAGCACCGTTGGATTTATTTAAAAGGGCATTTGATAAGAATAAAACTATGCTCTGAAGAGACCTATGACAAATATTAATTTTTTATCCTCAGTACATGAACCTGAAAATGGTGAACAGTGTCATAGCAGAAGAGACGCTGATACTCTCGTCTCTGCTTTTTTTCCCTGAAAACTTGTTGCCTCATGCTGTGGAATTTCCATGTATTCTGCACTACACAAGGTCATCACTATAATATCTGAACACTGTCAGTAGCGCATTAAGAATGTAACATCTGTCATACAATTGTTTTCTCATCCTTTCCTCAAAAGAAGATGTATCTGCAGGAAAGTGCCTTGTATTGGTAGGATTTTAGTGGACTTTGTTAATATACATGTTGCTATGTATTTATGTTAGGCACAGCAAGACCAAAAAAGTGCACCTTGCACTTGGAGTGGAAGGTTCTGAAGTTTATTATGGCCCTTAAATTTCTGGATGATTTCATCCTACAGTCTCAGACTGGCCCCCAAAACAGTTCTGTCTCCTGCACAAACAAGCTTTATCCTTATGATATAAATTTCAAGTGGCATCAGAAAGTGCACTTTAATGACGTACTTAGTGAAATTTAGAGGGTTTGGGAACTCCCATTAAAGTAGGTATGGAGAGAGGTCTAAATTTTTCCGTAAAAGACCATAATAAATCATCCCACCCTCAGCTAAACAGCTATCAAACGCTTACAAATACAAGTATCAGAGGGGTAGCCGTGTTAGTCTGAATCTGCAAAAGCGACGAGGAGTCCTGTGGCACCTTATAGACTAACTGAAGTGTAGGAGCATAAGCTTTCGTGGGCAAAGACCCACTTCGTCAGATAAGGTCTGATGGATGATAGTCATGCTGCACAATGCACGGGTGGAAGCTGATCAGACATTACCAAGAGGAGAACCTGGTCAGAACAGAGCAAGGATATTCGAATCCCCCAGCGCAGGTGTAAACTTCCCCTGAATTTCCCCAACAGTCGACTAGGTACATGCAGTGCTGCAATGTAGTTATTGGCTGGAAATTTGAATTGAAATTGAAACATTAATAAACACTTTAAAAGCATCTACAGTGTATGATAAAACCCTTCTACCTGGACAAGTACCAGGGCTTTGAAGAGTATGAAGAATGACACACTCTCTCACGGAGTGGTTGTTTTTCTGACAATACTGGCACCTTCATTTCAGGAACATTGGCCGACATTATCATTTCTAGTGTGATTTGTAAGCAGGGTCTGAACGAGCTTTCCCTGTGACAGCTAGTGACAAGCCAGGGCAGTGGCGGAGGCTTCTTCTGGACCGTCTGTACTTACATGAACTCCCCTCCTCTGCCTAGGTACCCAGCAGGCAGTGCTCTGCAGCCCAAGTGATCACTTTTGGCTGGTGATGGGTTACAAACCATTGTAGCATTGTATATAGGGGTCCTGCCGTGCTATCTTTGTTGTACAAGCAAAGGGCAGCAGAACTGCACCTGGCCTGGCCTGATTGAGGGGTTCACCGTCAGTGTTTAACGTTTGTCAGGGCTGAGCTCTGGCTCCTCTAGGTTTGGGAGTTCCCAGCCCTGGGACCTCTGGAATGAAAATGTTTTTTAATTGCTTGAATCTCAGCACCTCTTTTATTACAAATTGAGCACTGGTCATCATCAACTCAGTTGCACTCACTAAGCAAGGGGCTTGAATGGCAGATCCGGGGGGTGGAGAGGACAGGGGTTTCGCTTGTGGGCTGTGCCTAGGAGGCACAGCAACTACTTGATTTGCCTCCCCCCCCCCCGCTCATATGGAAGCGGTTCCATCCCCGAATCATTTTAGTTGCCCTTCTCTGTAACTTTCCAAGTTAATCCAGAACTGCATGTAGCATTCAAGATGTGAGCGTACCATGGATTTATATAACAACAGTAGGGTAGCTTAGTTTGCCAGACTGATCAGCAAAGCCAATGCTGACAAACTAAGTGAAAAGTCTGCAGAACACAATTTCTCTGGACCGCGTCAACATGCAGAAAGCCTTATAAACTACAGAGGGGTAGCCATGTTAGTCTGTAACTAATAAAACTTCAAAAACTACAATGGTCCAGTAGCACCATACAGACTCAAAAATTGATCTCTAAGGTGCTACTCAACCATTTTAGATTTTTAGGTTCCTTATAAGCCTGTCACTGTCAAAGCCAATTTTAGAAGAATATAATGAGGCTGTTAAAAATGCTGGAGATGCAGTTTATTCAAACAAACATGGCTGTCCCGACATACTTTCTCTTTAATCAGGATCCCACACTCTACAGACTGGAGGCCAGTGTTAAGTGCATTGCCACTTGTTAATCCTGAAGTTGGATACTGACCAAGACCAGCAAATGCTAACTGTATTTCTGAGAGAAACTCAGAGGACTGGTTAGAAGCATGCAGTGCAACAGGATACAAGTGTGACAAAAGTACTGATTGACTGGATACTATGAAGGACTTTAATATTCCTACCTCCTCCTTTTGTTTGGTCAGGAGGCTTTTGTCTTTCTTTGCTTTGGCTTCTTCCCATTGGGCTAGCTCCTTCTGATACACATCATAGACACAAGGTTTGCAGCCACTGCCACAGCACTGAGATTTCAAGGGTTCAATGGGCATGAGAGAGAGCCAGTCATCACCACTTTCGCTCATTACCTACAAAACACAAGCCAAGCATCATTCACAGGGCTACATGTTTTAAGGAAGAGGCACGCTTGAACCTGGTGCTATCTGCTGCTTCAGAGACATCCAACTCAACATGCTGAAAATTTAATTCAAGAGGCATCCCAACTTTACCTCACTGAAGATACATTGGCTATCTTGATACAAGCAATGCTCCATCTTCATTTGCATGGCTGCTAGTCTTTCCTTTAACACAGAATTGTTATACTGCATATAACCAATGGCCAACAAAGCCATTGTTTTGTCAGTGACTGTGGCTAATATCAAATGATGCAGAGGAAGGTGTAAGAAACCCCTTAACAGTTTGGTGATAGCATAGCATATATATTAGACGGGAAAAAGAATTTAACTGGATGCTCTTGGTATTCATATACATTTCTATACATTAAAATCCTTGACTCAACTTTGGTGACCAAAAAGGAGCATTGTGATCATTCTCTCTGTGAGCCACATCCCTACATTAAAGATGACTACAGGGTGTACTCTGCACCCATCTTTATTTTGCCTCTTTCTCTAAATCCCCTCTTTCAATACATCTTTATTACAGTGCTGTACTAAACATACAAAGTAACATTCTAACCATGGGCAGTTGGTGAAGACAAGGTAAGGGGAGGCAAGCCTCCAGCCCCACCCCTTCTGCTTCTGTCCCTTCCCCACACCCAGGAGGTGGGGCGGAATGCCACACATGTATTTCCCCCTTCCAACCAGGGGGAAGGAAGCCCCTCCAGTCCCGGTGGAAGGCACACTGTGCTGTGTGACCTGGCTGAGCCCAGCCTCTTGAGCACCAGGGTGTTCTGCACCATGTGGCCCGGCCCGGTCTAGTCTCTCGAGCCCTCAAGGAGCAAGGTTGGCATGCCACGTGGTGAGGCCTGGCCTCCCCAAACCCGGAGCACCAGGAGGGCGGGCACTGAAGGCAGCAACACTCCGCCCCCAGAATGTCTAAAATAGGCATTCTGGGGGTGGAGAGTGGACAGAGCTATGCCTGGAGGTTTGAAAAGGCAGAGCCTTACATACCAGATGCCCATAATTCTAACACGTGGTCTGCCCCTGCCCCTGCTTTTACTATAGGTTCAGTCTCTGGGTGACTAGAACATAGGCTACGCTGGAGAAATGCAGGGGATAGTCAGAGGCAAGAACTTGACAAGGAGCAGTGTTCAATCAAGTGAAGGGCCATTCTGGTGAGCAGGAGAGATGCTCCAAGATTCGAGACCAAACAAGTAGGTGAGGCCAAGCACTAGAAGAATTATCTATAACTCCCCATCCAAAAAATCCTTGTATCATAGTCCTAGATCATGTCCTATCTCCAGAAGCCCCAAAACTGACCTCTGTGGGACATTATTACTTTTTTATATGCTACTAAATTTGATATCATTCTCAATGATTTATGAGTGCTAGACAGGATCTAGATATTATTAATGCTGTATCATTTAAACATGAGGAAAACTATAAGCCACCCATAGCAGCGCTGAAAAATACTTAACACCTATAACTGTTTTCATTTTCAAGGTGTTTTATGAGCATTAAAACTTATCTTCACACTTGTGATAAACATATTATCATTTTACTGATTGAGAAATGAAAGCCAAAACACTAAGGCCAACCTTTTGAAAAGTGGCTATTGTTAGCAATCTAGCCAGAGGGAGCAAGGTTCTGTGCAACCACAGCCCCATGTAAAGTCAATGAGAGTTGTGTGTGCTCAGCATGTCTGCCAATTAGGTCTTAGGCATCTATCATCTCCAAGTAAGAGGTCATTAAAAAAATTAGCCTTTGTGACCTGACCAAGACCAAAGACGGACTCAGTTGTTAGCACAAGGTCTACAGCTTAGCAGCACTAACACCTAGCATTGTACTCAGACAATGTTATCTTCTACCTCATGTCACCTTACTGGATTTTGAGGGGAGCAGCCGAATCACTGCTGCACCCATGGGGGAGTGTTTGCCCCAAAAGTGGGTACAAAGGGGGCCATGTGAGGTGTCAAACAAAAGCTTACTTTCTACTGATTCTGTATATGCTCTTCATATATCTGTATAGTATCTGGGTGTGGAAATATGAATATGTATTCTGTGTCAATACTGGAAACTTCTCTGTTTGTGGCTGAGCAATAGACAAGGAATGCTCAGCCTATAGACATGCTAATGAGCAAAGCTCCCAGGAACAATGGACCTCTGAAGGCCAAAGACACACCTGGCCACTGACCATGTGACTGTCCCCAGCAAGGAAGAAGCCAGGAGGGAATATACATATGCCATGTGGCCGATTCCATCGCGGTGCTCAGCTCTTCATCCCAGAGGCAACAGTGCAGGAATCAGGGAGCTGGAAAGAACTGTTGACCCATCCTGACATAGGATGTACACCAAAGACTTTTAAGCCAGCAGTTATAACATCTCTGCTGCAAGCCTGCATCGAGAACTGGGAGATTCGATGCATGTAATGTATACTTTAACAACCTTACTCTCATACTTTTCTTTCTTTTAGTAATAAACCTTTAGATTTTAGATTCTAAAGGACTGGCTCAGCGTGATTTGTGGGTAAGGTTCAGAGTGTAAATTAACCTGGGATCTGTGGCTGGTTTCTTGGAACCGGACAGAAGTTGTTCGGGGAAGGTGAGATTGGGTTCTAAAACCCCTGTGTATGAGGCCTGTGGCCATCTGGGGCATGGATATTGCTGGGGTATGGAAGGGGTTTTGCTCATGAGGCTTCTGGCTGGCCAGGCAGGCAGCTGAAGCGCTCTGTGGGACTGGTTTATGGCCTAGTTGGGAACGTCTCTAGTCTGGGGGCTATAGAGAGCCCCGAATTTGAGCAATTCATCCTGAGCAGACGCCCTCAGCTGTGCCTAGACCGGTCTGTCACACCTCAGAATTATTATTTTCATCCAAAGATTGTAAGCTCCTTGAAGTGTGTCCTATGATCCTGTCTTTCTGTTAGGAAAGAGCCTAGGATATCAGGAAAGGCAGGTCTCTGCTTTGGTCAGTTTCCAATCTAGACAGAGAGTAGGTGAAAAGGGCCTTTATAACACAGGGGAACTGTCTCGGGAGGACCTTCTATACACCTCTCAGCTCTGTGATTTAGGTATGGCAGTCCAGCCATATAATCCAATCATGCTAAAAGGCAACGGTGAGAATGGGAGGTGGTGGTGAATTATCTGTCAGTAGGAGATTGCAGAATGGCTCTCTTAAAGCTCCAACTTCCGGAGTCATGGGATTACGGGAGACGCTCTGCATTGATGGATGGAATGCAGTCTGTGCCATAGCAGAGACAGGCTTGGAACCAGGCCCCTCAGGCTGGTAGGGTTAGTAGGTGACCGGTTTACAACTGGACTGCCCAGCTGAAAGGGGATAATGGCAGTTCAGTCAGTACCACTAAAAGGTCCAGTTGATGGCACAGCAAGGCTAGCACAGGTTCTCTCTCTCCCATTGTTCCAGACAGCTCCTAGAACAGCCTGTATGTCCAGCTCGTAGGCACAGAAGTGGCAAGCAGGCTCAGCATGCTGCTTCTGCCGAGGGCCAGCTCTAGCTCCTGCTGAGGTACAGAGCTACAGCTCCAAGTGGCTGGGCTCTGTGACTAATGGGAGCTACATAGGCAGCACCTGTGGGAGTGGGCAGCACTCAGAGCCCCCTGGCACCTCCACCTAGGAGCTGGACATGCTTTGGCCATTTCTGGGAGCCACCTGCAAGAGCCTGCACTCCAACCCACTACCCCAGGTTGGAACTCCCTTCTGCACCCAAACTCCCTCTTGGAACCCACATCCCAAATCCCTGTCCCCACCCTGAGCCCACTACTGCACCACAAAACCCCTCATCCACAGCCCCATCTCAGCACAGCCCATACCCCTGCCCAACCCCCTTCTGTACACCAAACCCCTTGGCCCTAGCCCCACTCCATATCCTACATCCCCAGCCGGAGCCCTCACCTCTCTACTGGCCTGGTGAAAGTGAATTGAGGGTGAAGGAAAGTAAGTGATGAAAGGGAGGAATGAAGACAGAGGTGTGGCCTAGGGAAGGGGCAGGCCTATGGAAAGGGCAGGATGAGGGAGTTCAATTAGAAAGTTAGCAACCCTAGGGCCTACTGGCTTCAGCAGCTGGTGGGACAGGGCCTAACGTTCCCTTGGTAATGATTCTCTATAGCAGGGCTACTCAACTTGAGAAGCCTGGGAGCCACAATGATACTCACAGCACATGCCGAGAGCCCACAACTTAAGTGTGATTGCATATATGTGCAAATATATATGCAAATAGCTTCTTTCACACTGACAGGCATGAATAACAAAGCACTTCCCACAATGTCCTAGTGCTCCAGGCATCTCCTCCTTGGGGACTAGAAATGCCAACACCCTGTACCCATCTGTTCCAGCCAGCCCGCCACTAGCGTCTTTCAATGCTCACTCCACCTGGGAGACGCCTCGCCATTGTGGAGCGTGTTCCCAATAGAGGCCATGTTCAAAGGATCCCACCTGTGGGCCACATCTTGAGGGCTGCATAAACTCAAACCGCACCGCGGGCCACAAACAAATGGGCCGCGGGCCACATATGGCCCACAGGCCGCGTGTTGAGTAGCCCTGCTCTATAGCAAGGGCCCTACCAAATTCAGACACACAACCATGTCATGAACCATGAAATCTGATGTCCTTCTGTGTGCTTTTACCCTATACTATAGATTTCACAGAGAAAACAAGTGTTTCTCAAATTGGGGCTCCTGACTCAAAAAGGGATGTCACAAGGCTATTTTAGAAGGATCATGGTATTGCCGCCCTTACTTCTACACTGCCTTCAGAGCTGGACAACTGGAGAGTGGGGGTTTTAATAGTGGTAGTATGCCCAGCTCTGAAGGCAGCACCCTGCCAGGACCAGTGCAGAAGGGTGGCAATACAATACCTATCACACCCTTACTTCTGTACTGTTGCTTTCCAAGCTGTGTGGCTGTTGACTAACGGCCTAGCTCTGGAGGCAGCAGCATAGAAGTAAACGTGGCAACTAGGGATGTCATCAGGTAGATGATTAACTGATAAGCCTAGACTAATCAGTTAATCTTGTCGACTACATACATTTTCCCCACTTCTATATCAAGAAGTGAGGGAGCGGAAGCTGATGCTCACAAGGAGCTGGCTTTAGCACCGGATCCGCAGCAGCACGGAGGGTGAGGGGGGCAGGCTGGAGCCAACATGTGCTGAAGCCAATACGCTCCTGCGGACCTGCCTGCTCCCCCCTTGCTACCTTCTACAGAGGCAGCAGGCAGGGGAGGCTGTCATAAAGCATCCTCTGTCTGCAGCAGGTCTGAGCTCCCTTTGGACAGAGGTTGCTGCCACTGTACTGGAGGCAGCAGCGTGGGGCGGCAGGCAGCCAGTCCGCGCAGGGAGTTGGTTTTTAAACTGGCTCTCCTCATGGACTGGCTCCCGCCTGCACCCCTTGCTGTTGCCTCTGATAGAGAAGCAGCAGTACAAGGTGGCAAGGGGTTCCCCATGAGTGGGACCGGGAGCACACTGGCTACCGGCCCCACACCCGGGAACTATCAGTCGTGTAATGGATACGTTTTCATGCAGTTACACAATTCAATTACACTATATGGAACATCCCTAGTGGCACCACCATAGCAGGCCATCGTAACTCCTGTGTTGCCGCTGGCAGCAGCTTTGCCTTTGCGCCCGGCCAGCAGCGGCTGCTCTCCTGCTCTGAAGGCGATGCCGCTCCCAGCACCTGTGCAGACGTACCCATCCTGCAACCCGCCCCCTACAACAGCCCTGTCTGCCCCCCC